ACTGAGCCCTGGGGAACACCGCTCGTGACCGGCCGCCAACTGGATTGAACTCCATTCACCATAACTCTCTGGGCCCGGCCGTCCAGCCAGTTTTTTACCCAGTGCAGAGTACACCTGTCTAAGCCGTGAGCCGCCAGCTTCTCTAGGAGAATGCTGTGGGAGACAATGTAGGCTTTTTCTTAATATTCAAAATATATCTGTTGAGACTCTTGTTCTGCGCCTTCTGGTGTCATTCCTACAATATGTAATTGGTCAGTTTTCAGAACTAAGAGGGCTGTCAGTCTTCTGGCATGTTCTGATGTTCTTTTGCCACACTTAGGAGTTCGGGAGATTAATTCCGTGTGTTAGATGACAGCACATTTCATTGTCATTCACCCACAAGGGCATCCATAATGCTGTATTGTTTTGTTCAGTTAATAACAACGTAGCAGTGTGTTTCTCTTTCTAGTTTCCGAGAAAATGTTTGTAACCTAGGTGTGCAGGCATTTCTTAACATTTATTTAAAAAAAAAAAAAATCGAAAATCAAAATCTTCTCTGAAGTAGCAGAGGAGCCTTGTACATAAAAGCGTGCTCACTAATTGCCATGCTAACACTTCCCTTTAATAGAAGGAAAGAACCCTTCGGGAATTTCATAACAGCACTTGTTGTAGTAAGGTGTTAAAACCACAGTGTTTTGGCCTTTTGACTGGTGGTCTGTTTTGTAAGTGCCAAATCTTCTAGCATCTCAAACCTAGACTAATGAAAAGATAAGCCTCAGAATTCATTTAAAACAGATCTTTGGTAAAATTCGGTCGTTCAACATCATGTTGCAGTAACATTTTTTAAACTTCTGTAGTATTTTTGTTTTTTAAACACTTTATTAATCATTTTGATGAAGCATATCCTGACTTGTTTTAATCTTGGAAGCAGTTACACTTCTTCATACGTTGTCAGTGGAGGCAACAATGCTAGAAAATTATCTAAAATCGTATTGCTGAGATACTAGTAATTGCAAGTAATTGCTCTTTTAGATATGATTTGTAAAACTGCCAGCACAAGTTGGTTGCATTTG